ATGTATCAGAATCGACTGGATCAGAGGTCTTTAAGGATGGTCGCCTGAGAAAGTACGTGCTAAAACTGTACAATGCCTATTATATTGGAACAAAGAGGGGAACCCTCTTTCACACCTCATTCTGATTCTTCATACGTGGATGTAGAAATTCTAGTGATTTTTAATATTTCAATCATACTAATGTGGATTAAATAAAGAAATTTAAAAAAATCATACTAAAATTGGATGAGAGAGTAATGTTATTTGAGATGGAAGTCCACAGGATAGAAATTTTAATGAAAATGGGATAGGACTTTTGTGGCTTTACCAACCACCGCCATTTTCTTTTTCTAACTCCCGACGAAAAAATAGGGGAGTTATAAATTTAACGTATGTATCTGTGTATCAGTCTGTGGCATCGTAGCTCCCAAACGGATAAATCGATTTTGATTTAGTTTTTTGGATTGAAGAGGTGACTTGATCGAGTGTTCTTAGCTAGAAATCATTCATCTTGTAGTGTACAATGAAATCAGTATCTTTAGTTAGAGGACAGTGAAACAAACAAATAATATCCAGCAGTGTGTCATAAAGAGTCATTTTTCCGAGATACTGCGAGGTCAATATAAATTCTATGAAGATCATGAAAAATTAAGTAACAATACGTTTGTAATTGTTAGATTGTATTTAAATGGTAGGTTCTAGGTAGAAATTGTTCTATAACAATATTTCTGTATGGAAAACCCGAAAAAACTAAAATTTTGATAAATCTCTAAGTTGAGTACTAAACAAAATGGTAAATAAAGATGTTTTTTCATTATTCCAAAGAAACCCACGAGTTGTAAAGAAATGTCTCCTATCTTGTATTCCGAAGTTTCATCAAATTCGTTTAATGGTTTACGTGTAATTAGGTAACAAACATCCAAACATTTGCAACATTCAAATTTATAAATAAAAAAGCAAATTAAAACAGCTCAGTACCTTTTCCTCCTCTGTTTGTCAACGATACTCTTTTTTATTTAGTAGCTATTGACGAGTTTTATATATGTATACTAGTAACTCACCCTCGCTTTGGTCGGGTTCGTCCCTAAGTACGTTTTAAATTAAAATGGATATAGTATGTTATCCTTAAGAAATAGACATATGCCGTCGCGGACTTTTCTGTAGACCTATATAAGATACACAATTCCACCATACATTATTTTGTTATATCTCAAAGGGTTTAGGCAGCGTTTTCGTTGAAAGCTCCCAGACGTCTTATTTTTTCCGACACCTCCAACAAATATCGTTATATTTTAGCCAATGTATACAAAAACTTAACAAATTATATATTAAAACCTTCCTCTTGAATTACTCTATCTATTAAAAAAAACCGCATCAAAATCCGATTCGTAGTTTTAAAGATTTAAGCATACATAGGGATATAGGGACAGGGAAAGCGACTTTGTTTTATACTATGTACTGATTGGTTATCAATAAAAATAATTTGGCAACAATTTTTATATATAGATAGGTTTTATACCATTATGCTGTACCTACTCTATCTGCGCCGCACTAAATTAAATTAACTCATTTTCTCACTTTTGAAACTTTCGATTGAAACTTTTAGTTTCTGGAAGAAATCTCTTAAAGAGATAAGTTATCTTTTGTCGACATTCTGTTACTTTATTTTGTACTAACATTGCTCGCGGCTCCGCCCGCGTTCAGATAACCAAATTCTTAGGTTTTACATATTCGTATACTCTTACAATGCAGTTTTTGTATTTTTTCTCAGAAATGAGATATTTTCCCGCGGGAAAAAGTATCCTATATGTTGACCCGGATAACCAGCTATCACCATACCGAATTTCATCAAAATCCTTCCAGTGGGTTTTCTGTGATGCGGTAACAGACAAACAGACAGACAGACAGACAAAAATTCTAAAAACTATAGATTCGGTCTCTGTATCGATTATAATGTTTATTTCAATAAGATTTTGATTTTCCAAAAAATATTTAATGAACAGATTCGACTTAGTTACAATTTTATTATATGTATAGATAACATTTATTTTATGACACATAAAATAAATAATAAATTCTATTCATATATGTTTTCCTCAAATTTTCAACAATTATATCGGATTTCGACCACAGACACACAGTAGTAACATTAAAAATATTGTTAAATCTTATAACGAGTCTATATTTCGTAGCTCTCACTTCACACCTAGCATATCAAGACTCATTATCCTCAGATGCGTTCAAAATTATTTTACAAAACAAACTCGTTCAATGAACATACCTTTCATATCCCATACAATTCTAAATGAAGGCAATGCTTTAATTTCAATTTAAAGGTGTAAGATGAAATGCAGGTATTCGTTTTTTGTCTTTGCTGCCGTGGAATTTAGAAATTAACCGACTGTTCCGGAAAGACAGTAATGCTAGCTATACAAATAAATAATATTGAAGTGGCTGTTTGTAATGTTAAAATAACAGATTTTTACTAAATGCATATGAAAGTTGAAATAAAAATAGTTTTTATATTTTTTTGTTAAATTAATGTGTTTTATCCTATGGCTTAGAGATCGTGTGAAGGCGTCGTTACTTGTCGTCGCCGAATTTGGCTACGCATTATTATTACAAACTAGCATTCCCCGCGGCTACGTACGCGTTTGGATGACCAAAAACCATATTCTTAGGTTTTACATATTACTATACTCTTACATTGCTATTTTTGTATTTTTCTTAAAAATGAGATATTTTCCCGCCGTAAAAAGTATCCTTTATGTTGACCCGGATAATCAGCTATCACCACACCAAAATTCATCAAAATTCCTTCAGTGGTTTTTCTGTGATGAGGTAACAGACAGACAGATAGACAGACAGACAGACAGACAAAAATTCTAAAAACTACAGATTCGGCCTCTGTATCGATAATAATGTCTATTTCAATAAGATTTTCCAAAAAATATTTAATGTACAGATTCGGCTTAGTTACAATTTTATTATATGTATAGATTATGGCTTAAAATGCTCATTAGATTTGAGTATAAAATGTGTTCTAAGATTAATATTGTTTTGAAAATACCATAATACATAATAAATAGCGTATATATTATATTACACAGTAGACGGAACCAAAGAGAAAAGAGCTTTATAAAGGTTATTGACAATGTATGGTAAAATCTGAAAATATTTCTAAACTAGAATATCGCACTAGTGGTTGAAATTCAGAAATAATTTTTGTTGAAGTGAAAACTTCTATAGGCAGGTTTGCAGTAAATTCATGTAAGTCGTCATCGACATGGTCACGTGACGTGTTAACGCTAACACTCAGAATGCCGATAGATGTCAAAACCAGATAAATGTGTACAGTTTTAATTTACAAATTTTAATTTAAGATCAAACAATTAATTTGAATATCCAAATATAACAACTGTTTGTTTATAGTTTTAAGTTTTCACTTCTGTCGGTGGTCCCCATGACTGCTTTTTTTTTAATGATATCACAAGCTCGTCTATATCGAACAAAAAATAATGAAGGAAAATTGGTTGACAAACTGAGGAAAAAAAGGTTCTGAACTGTTTCGTCTTTGCATATTTATATATAGAAGATAAAATTAAGCTTTTAACTTGATGATGTAATTAAGAATTGAAAATATGTATTTTATTCAGCAAATATTAATAAATAATAAATATTTTGGGACATTGACACACCAGCACCATCTAGTTCCATGGTAAGTTATGAGGCTTGTGTTATGGATACCAGATAGCTGATACATTAAACGTATATAACTTTAAATACATACATATTATAAGTATAAACACCCATAACTGGAGTACGAACATTCGTGCTCATCACACAGTTTAATTTAAAATAAGTCAAGCTCATAAGCTTATAAGTAAAAAAAAAACGTGGGTGTACTTAATATGTACGCACAAACAGAACAAAAATAGCTAAAGATTTCATCCCGTATGTCACAACTCTCTGTTTGTAAAAGGAATGCAGCTAACTTCATCATGTCGCTTTTTGGCTGTCGCTGTGCGCGCGCATCGTAAAAATTTTACTCTCATAATTCTTTCTAAGCGTGCCTAAAGAAGTATAACTTCAAAAAATGTCAATGACCACCCCAGTCATATCACGCTTTGCTCTAGCGTGCATCAACATTGTATTTCATGAAAGGGTTAGCTGAGTGATTACTGTCACTACATTTTATATGTCATGGGGGAGACGTGGTACTCGAGCGTAGAGACGTTAAAACATGAACATTGTCTATACATATAATAAAATTGTAACTAAGCCGAATCTGTACATTAAATATTTTTTGGAAAATCTTATTGAAATAAACAATATTATCGATACACAGGCCGAATCTATAGTTTTTAGAATTTTTGTCTGTCTGTCTGTTACCGCATCACAGAAAAACCACTGGAGGGATTTTGATGAAATTTCGTATGGTGATAGCTGGTTATCCGGGTCAACATACATGTTGACCCGGATAACCCTATAGAATATTTTTTAGCGCGGGAAAATATCTCATTTCTAAGAAAAAATACAATAACTGCATTGTAAGAGTATACTAACATGTAAAACCTAAGAATTTGGTTTTTGGTCATCGTTAAAATGCGGGTGAAGCCGCAGGCATTGCTAGTTTTATTATATGTATAGATTAACAAAAGAATTTTAACGTTCAAACTTAATAGACTACGATCGATTTTTGACCACTAAGCGTTATTAGTACAATAAGTTCATGTAATTAATTTAAAAGAGGTTTTCATAGAAACATCAAAATATCTGCTAGAAAAAAATAAATAAAAACTCTACAAAATATTCTGTCAAATCACAAAACAAAGAAAACTAAATATGTCTACCGCAAAATTACAGTCTTTTCAATAAAATAATTAAAATTAAAAAAAAATGGCAGTACACCTAATAATATTACAAAGGAAAAAATATTGAAAAAAATAATAGTAATGCTATCAGTAGTTCACACCTAAGCCTTTTAGCAGATCTGACAAATTTATAAATAATCAGCAAATATGTTTAAAGACGACGATGGTGAGTAAATCTAGATAAGTAAGATTTTCTTTATTTTTTTCGGTCCTGCGTCTTGTGGAGTTAATCAAGAGAAAATGTTGATATTGTATTATAAAATAGCGATTTTCGGTACGATTTTTTTTGAGCAGAACCCTAATTCTTTTTCTAAAATTAAAGTAGCCTAAGTTACTTCTTATAACATCAGCTACCTGCCAGTGAACTGTCAAAATTAGTCCAGCCGTTTCGGAGATCAGCCGTAACAATTAGACAGACAGTTTTTTTATAATTTAATTTTTCTTATAAGTACCGTAAATAATTTCATATGCATTTAATAAAAAGGTCTTATTTTAACATTAAGTACAGACACTTCAATTTTATTTATATGTATAGATAATAATGTTCTACCGATGGCCAATTTCACTGAGACTAGTCGAGTTGCAGGAGACATTATTATCCACTCTATATTTCGTGTACTCTCAAAGTCCAATAAGACTACCATTTGGTATGATACTTGTATATCGTTACCTGTAATTGCGTATCATAAAATTTTAGTTCTGAGAATCTTAATGGAAAATTTTCTTGCTAGTTATAAAAATTAACAAGAATTTCTTACTAGTTGGGTCTTGAAGAAATCATTGCATGCACCAGGTTCTCTCACCATGACCTTTATATGATTATTAGCATAAGAATTACTAATTATTTATTACAGAGGAGGAGGAAAACACCTTTGGTGTCACCAGATACCCTTGCATGCCATCTCTCGTGGCTCTACAGCAGATGAGGAACAGGTTGCACCTTGCTTACCTTGGAAGAAAGCTGATGAAGTGGACTGCTTTGGCCACCGGCAGAGAGATGAGGAGGCTGGCTGAAGAGCTTTATGAGTAAGAAATTAAAAAAATGCTAATCTTATAATGTAAAAGTTTTTGATTATGTTTGACTGTATGTAACTTAACTATGTGTTAATCAGTGAACGTATTTGGATGAATATACTTATAGTAGGGGAGCCCAAGAGGGGATTTTTGTAGTTACTCAAGCGCGGCAGATTAACATAAAAGAGGTTACCTTGCACTCTATTGAGTACTTTCACCACAATATAAGTCTTCTATATAAAGGGGCGCGTCTAGGGAAGCCGATTAAAATATTTAAAAAATGTTTTGATAAGGTAAAATACTTGAAACCGTCAGATTAAGGTGTGGTAGGCTAGTCACATCCTGAAAAGTGTCCAATTTAATAATCTGCCGTTTTGCACAAGCCTAAGAGGCAAAAATCATCATAAACTTTATAGTCGATTTATATAGAAGACTTATATTGTGGTGAAAGTACTCAATAGAGTGCAAGGTAACCTCTTTTATGTTAATCTGCCGCGCTTGAGTAACTACAGAAAATCCCCTCTTGGGCTCCCCTACTATTATGTTTGTAGCACTATATTATAACCCGTAAAGGCGTTATTATTAGTAAAATATTTTAACTTTAACTATATTTTATTACTATTATTGCTCGCGGCTTTGCCCGCATTCAGATGACCGAAAACGAAATTCTTAGTAGTACATATTAGTATACTCTTACATTGTAGTTTTGTCTGTCTGTCTATCTGTCTGTTTATCTGTCTGTCTGTTACCGCATCACGGGAAACCACTGGAGGGATGTTGGTGAAATTTGGTATGATGATAGCTGTTTATCCGGGTCAACATATAGGATACTTTTTATCGCGGGAAAATATCTCATTTCTGAGAAAAACTCCAAAAACTGCAATGTAAGAGTATACTAATATGAAAACCTAAGAATTTGGTTTTTGGTCATCTGAACGCGGGCGGAGCCGCCGGCAATGCTAGTTTTATTATATGTGTAGAAGATAGCGCTGTTCAGCGGAGTAGATATAGCAAAACAAAACATTTTTAGAGAGATTTCTTGTGTGACATATTTCCCTCATTTTATACATGTAATTAATTTATTTGTTTTTTTTTTAATCTATTACTTAGCTCGAAGTATCCAGGTTGTAAGTATTGTGGGCAAGAATGATCAGTATCTTATATAAGCTTTTATAGCTTACAATTTCAAAATTGGCCCTCAGGCAGAACCGAAAATGTGACTTTAAATGTAGAGTGCAAAATTAATAGACATGCCAATAAAATTGTTTTATTATGATTTTTGTTTAGTGCATACCAAGGGTTTGGGGAAGATATGCGTAACGCCTTTATCTTGTTGGCAAGAGGTCGATACTTCGTCCCACAACTGAATAGCATAGTGACTGAAGATATTAATAAAAAGGTACTATATTATATTATAAAGGTATAAATAAATAAATATGTTAGGACATTAACGCACAGCGCCTTCTAGTTCCATGGTAAGCTACGAGGCCTGTGTTATGGATACCAGATAGTTGATAAACTACAAATATATAACTTTAAATACATACATATTTTAAATATAAACACCCATGACTGGAGTACAAACATTCGTGCACATCAAACAAATGAATGCCCCCAGCGGGACTCGAACCCGCGACCGCTGGCACAGCAAGTAGGGTCACTACAAACTGAGCCAAACGTGTCGTTAGGTTTATTTCAGGTGTATTCATATATCTTTTACATTTGAATAGTTCCAAATGTATACAAATTTTCGAAAATAGTACTTGTATTTAGTCAAACTTGCTAGGTTTTATCTCAGACATGCAGGTTTCCTCACGATGTTTTCCTTCACCGCAAGACAAGTGGTAATCAGGTTGGAAATGATTCGGTACATGAAAATATCAAAGCTGCGACACCCGAGATTTAAGCCCGCTTCGTTTGGTTTTCCAAGCGAGCTACCACTGTCTGGTAATATTAATTCAATTCATTTTTTTTTTATCGCTTCAAAGCGATCCAGTTGAGCACAGGTTACTACGCTAATGTCACGTAGAATGGATAAGGCACGAAGGAGATTGGTCGGTAAATAATACAAATGATTTAAATTAATTTTATTTTAGATTTTTTAAGTTAGTCAGTGAGCATAAAAATAACCGTTTTAAGGTAATACGCTAACAGAAAGCCGGCTATGATTTTAGTTTATATTAGATATCAATGTTTGAGATATCTAATATAAACTTAAATTAGAATGGGATTTTGAATAAAATAAATTTGGAACTCGTATTAAAATATATTATTATTATTGCATCACAAATCTTATATATATAAAAGAAAGTAAACACAAAAGCAAAATGAAAAGGAAACGAAAAAAAAACACAGTATATAATAAATACACTAGTTTAAGAAGTACATAACATATATAACATTTTCAATGATTTATGAATATATAAAAAAATATGTCGCCCCCGGGTGGGCTCGAACCACCAACCTTTCGGTTAACAGCCGAACGCGCTAGCCGATTGCGCCACGGAGGCCATATAAAATATTGCGAAAAATAACATTGCATATCATCTTCTAATGGTACCTATTTTCATATTATACGAGTATAAGCTAGCGACTCACCATCTAAAAGTCCCTAGTAAATACAAAGATTATGAAAATTGATTCAAAATTTGCGAAGATATCGTGCAACATATAATATATTAATAAATATAGCGGAATAAAATACCTCTTTTATTTTAAAGTCGGTTCAAAAAGTACCTAGTTTATGAATTTATAAAAAAAAGTAAAAATTAAAAATTGTTTTTTCTTTAATATCTTTGCCAAATATGACTTAGTTTCTTAGTTAATCTTTTACATTTATAACTAGCGACTCACCCTTGCTTCGCTCGGGTTCGTCTGTTGCTTGCTTCCCCATACAAAATTTCATCCCCATTCTCACCCCCTTAAGGGATGATTTCCGGGATGAAAACTATTTCACTCACTCACTTTTCATATCATGAGATTTAAAAAAAAAAATTTTAAATTTCTTCTATACAAAACTTACTCACAAAAACACAAAAAAAAATAATTATTCAATTTGGTGCAGTCGATCGGAAGTTATACGCGTACATATTATGTACATTTGGTGATTCATTTTTATTGATACATAAAATGTTTAAGGGTGTTTTGTTTACTTTTAATGCACTTCTTACGCAAGTCAGTGAGTTTAAAAAAAATAATTCTTTTATTTTTAACCAATGTTTTGCATAAATAAATATATTGGGAAATCACCACACCATCTAGTTCCATGGTATTAGCTACGAGGCTTGTGTTATGGATACCAGATAGTTGGATACTACACATACATATATAACTTTTAATATATACATAATAAACGCCAATGACTGGAGTACAAACATTCGCGCTCATCATACAATTACATGCCCCCAGCGGGACTCTAACCCGCGACCGTTGGCAAAGCAAGTAGGGTCACTACAAACTGAGACAAACCTGTCGTCGATAGTCGATATTTTGTATCGATGTAAATGTCCATATTTTTGTCAACAGGCAGGCGTAGTAGTGCAGCAATCCACAAAGTCAATATCTGGAGTAAAGATAGTACAATTTAAAATAGTTGAGGTAAGTTTAAAAAAAAACACCAAAAAAAAAAACATCTTTTATACATTTTTTACCCTCGACGCAAAAAGAGGGGTGTTATAAGTTTGACGTCGATGTCTGTCTGTGTTTGTGTGTCTGTCTGTGGCATCGTAGCTCGCAAACGGATGGACCGATTTCGATGTGGTTTTCTTCATTTGAAAGCCAGTTTCTTTGCGGTGGTTCTAAGCTATGTTTGGTTAATATTGGTCCAACAGTGTAAGAGTATCAGCTCTTTTCCAAAATGATGTGCTTCACGCGTGCCAGTGTAATCGTTAAATGACAAATAATTTGCGTAGGGGGGTTTTTAAATTTTTAATTTATTATATCATTTGATACAGATTTGTGGTCTCTGCTCAAACTATTTGGTACCAGTCGATTATGGTATTTCTAGCCAAATCTTTGCGCAAACACAAGTGTAAGTCTCAGTTCCTTTGACTCTTAAAGGTCGGTGGGATAATAACACGATATGAACGAAGAGATGATTGTAACACCCAACTTTACAATTTTGGCAACCACTTTTTGCCAATTTCAATTATTTCCAAATCCTGTTGACAAACTTTTCTCACCAATGTTTACATTTATCATATTCAGGACTAGCATTGCCCGCGGCTCCGCCCACGTTCAGATGACCAAAAACCAAATTCTTAGGTTTTACATATTAGTAGAATCTTACATTGCAGTTTTTGTATTTTTTCTCAGAAATGAGATATTTTACCGAGGTAAAAAGTATCCTATAGGTATGTTGTTGACGTGGTTAACCAGTTATCTTCATAACAAATTTTATCAATATCCCTCCAGTGGGTTTTCTGTGATGCGGTAACAGACAGACAGACAGTCAGACAGACAAAAATTCTAAAAACCATAGATTCGGCCTCTGTATCGATAATAATGTCTATTTCAATAAGATTTTCCAAAAAATATTTAATGTACAGATTTGGCTTAGTTACAATTTTCTTATATTATGTATATAGATAATACTTTCAATATTTTATAGGTATAAAACAATTGCCACAATATTGTATCTTAATAGGGTATGTTACTTCATCTCGAGGTCGTAGTGATAAATCGCGGTCTGCCAATATTTTTCGGGCTGTTTTTTTTTTAATTTTATTGCATGTTTTTACATCATATGAAAATATATATATTTTTTCTAATTATTTGTCAAGTTTGTTAAACCGCTTTAAGAAATATTTATCTTGAATAAAACGTTTGACAAATGTCAGCGTCTTCATAGCGCGTACAGTATAAATTAATATTAACAAAAAAACGACGTCACTTATCTAACAATGCATTGTCATATAAACTCAATATAATCAGTTGAGGCTAGCTGCTTTAAAATTCAGTAGCAAGATTTTACCCGAACAAACATACATACAAAAATTGCAACTTAAATAAAATCTTGTAAAGTACAATATCTACGTTTGAATTTTTAGAGACAAACAGACAAAAAATACCTATATAAGCCACGACTAGGGATTTGAACCCAGATCTTAAGATTGTCCTGATAGCCACTAGATCTACAGGATTTTTTTAAATAATTGTTAAGGAATCTACGCTAATACCATGTTCTGACAAGACTTTACTTTCTAACATAGTTTTGTCCCTTTCAGACGGAGTCACCGCCTTACTCCCACTTGGGCATTGAGAAGGGCGGTCAAGCGATCCTCGAAGCTAAAAATGCTTGGCTGGAACTCTTAAAACGTCTCATCATGATGATGCAGCTTCGAGCAAGTTTTCTGATGGTGGAACTGGCCAATAAGACTGCTGTCAAGTAAGTCGATTTTTATTATTGCAGGAACATCGATGGTAATGCTTATGTTTTTAACAAAACAAAATGTATTCTTTTTTTAGCTTTCACACTAAGCTTTTGGAAAGAGCTTTATCTTTCCTTTTTAGAATTTATTTAGAAAATTTGAATATACTTTTTTTATGAAAATTCATAATATTTCAATGTATATTGGTGATGATATGATTTAGAAATTATGATCATTTATTTATATTTTTTCACTTTATAACAGGTTAAAAGACTATGTTATTTTTGTCTATCTTTTGAGGATTTATATCTTACCAGGCTCTTTCCGCGGCTCCGGCCGCGTATTTTGACTATATTTTTATAAACTACTAGTAGTACCCGCGGCTTCGCCTGCATCCAAACTTCCAATCGCTACCAAACTTCACAGAATCACACGCTGGGTTAACCTAAATATTGCCTTAAAATTTTATCAAAATCGCTCCCGCTGTTTTGGAGAGGGAACATACATACACACATCGATTTTCAATTTATTTAATCAACAATTTAAATGTATTTATTGCACGGAAAATGGAATCTTACATAAAAATTTGGTGACACGCCGACTGCAGCGCCACCTAACGGATCCCATTATGTTTTCAAACCATCCAGGATTGAATTGAATCCACTCATTGAAATATACATAAAACATTTAATCCAACTCGGTCCAGCCGTTTAGGAAGAGTTAAGTAACTAACAAACATACAGAAGAATTATACATTAATATAAACTATATCCTTTATGTTACTCTAGTTTATAAGCTATATTACTGTAAAGTTTCATCAAAATCTATTCAGTAGTTTTTACGTGAAAGTGTAACAAACACCCGTCCATTTATCCGTCCATACAAAATTTCGCGTTAATAAATATTAGCAGGATTATTGCCTAATCATTTTTATCGTTTACGCCGTGCGTCAAACTCTTACGGTTTAGTCAAAGAGCTGTTAGGTATATGTAAATCAATACAAAGCTTTGTAATATTTTGTTTGTAATATTGTTATTACATCTATAATGGACAAGTTACGCTTTAATTTGACGTAATAATTTATTCTTTCACGTTTGACAAAATTCAAAGAGCGGAAATTGACGACTTTTTGTTTATTATAAAAGGAAATGTAAGAGATTTATATCATTCTTGAGGTATCGTGCAAAAGATGTACAGAAACAGTTGTGTACATACATACTTTGTTCCATTCAAATTCGTCACAAAATTCTTTGTATTCGTTTAAAATAACTTGTAGTCGTTGGATTCGTCTTTATATTAACGCGAGTAGGCTATATGCATATTATTAAAAGTCAAAATGGCGGATTTCAGGCGCTAATTTGTGTAAAAACATTTTTTTCTCCAAAACTTATCGAATGGTCTCAAAATGAACGTTTTTATAAGTAACACAATTATCTGTATAAAAAATGTATTTCATAAAAACTTTAGATAACAAGTAGTTCAATCCAAATACATAACTGACCAAATTAAATAAAAAGCTGTAAACAAAAGTTAAATTATAGAATTAAAAAAAAATACCAGTATGTTTAAATATTAGCATGTACTATAAAAATTGTATTTGTACGGATATCGAACTGGCTATCCGCAAAAGCAATACGGGCACGGTACACCATCAAATATGTATACATAATATAATGCCTATGCAAAATTGTTAAAGAAAAAACGAGCCTTAAATTTTGCAAGACGATCGTAAAGCGTTCAAAGTTTACATCCCTTTTGTTTTTGTGGTTCTTCAAGTTTGATTTCTAATTAAACTCTTTCATTATGGAAGTAACGTGTAATGAATGTTGAATGACGGCAGTCATGGTGCATTGGTAAATTATTGGTAAATTATATTAACTTTGACATTGGTACAGCTAGTGATGGGTTCGAATCTAGATAGAGTAAGCATTTGATATTAATAACTTAGTTTTACTTCGCTTGGGTGTTACTTCCCTATGTGGCTGATGCCTATGTTCTACCCCAGGTCATGTCTGTGTACTGAATTTCAATGTAGCAATGTATAAGTTATGCTAAAGTTTGTATGTATGTACCTATGTATGTATGTATGTACCTATGTATGTATGTATGTATGTATGTATGTATGTATGTATGTATGTATGTATGTATGTATGTATGTATGTATGTATGTATGTTGCTCTTATACGCTGAAACTGCTGTATAGATTTGGATAAAATTTAAGGTACGCAGATAGATTATGCTCTAGAATAATGAAATAATTTCTAGTCAATCGTTATCAACCATGGCCGTAGTCGCCTAAATTATGATAGAGATACGATACGTCTTCATTAGTGGAGCTATAGACATTTTTCTATGATAGTGATCTAGTGACCACTTTCTTAATAGCCCACTCTACCACTGTGCCAGAGGGACTTTATAAATAAGCTAGCGACTCACCCTCGCTCAGCTCGGTTCGTCCCTAGGTTGATTCCCCATACAAACTTTCATCCCCATTTTCACCTCTTTAATGGATGATGTCCTTCCCAGGTTCTCAAATTATCTTCTTACCAAATTTCATCTAAATCGGTTCAAGTATATCCAGAGATTAATTACCCTATACAACGTCACAAACTCACAAACTTTACCTCTTTATAATATTAGTATAGATAATACAGCTTCATAAGCCCCTTGAGCCACATTAGCTAGGATAACTCAAAAAGATTTGTTTCAAACAAGTTCCTCGTCATGTCAAAAATGAGAGAAGAAAGTCCGGTCGGTCCACGTCCAAGCCAATTTGCGTGCTTATATATATATTTAATATATTGTTTGATAAAATATACGCTTAGTAAAATAATAGTATCGATTTTGGGCTTTACTTGTATATTTCTTTTAAAAGCGGTTTTCAAATTAAAGAGTCTACTGATTTTAGAATTGATTCCAAATTATTTATAGCAGTTTGGGGTAGGGGTAGGTAGTTTCTTCCCCCCCAACGTGCGTGTAGTTTCTTAAGACAAATCTATCCCACGGGAACCGTACACTTTTCCGGGATAAAAAGTTTATGTGCAAGACTATGATGTATCCCTGTGCCAAATTTCATTCAGATCCATTCAGAAGTTTTAGTGTGACTGAGTAACAAACATCTATCCAAACATCTAAACGTCTAAACTTTCACATTTATATTATTAAAAATAGTAAGATTTATTAAAACCATAAAATTATTTGAAGGACGTTTACTCCATTCTAATTAAGCTCGTCGCATGATTAGACATATGTATTTAAATAAAAAATTAAACAAGCTAATATTATACTATCTCTCTTGGGGGATGGGGGATGAGAACAAATGCTTAAACAAGCAATATAAATTAAAAATAAAAAAAAACCCTACACAAATTAATTGTCATTTAACGATTACACTGGCACGCGTGAAGTACTTAATCGAGTAATCATACGCCAAAATGCTTTACATCATTTTGGAAAAGAGCTGATACTCTTACACTGCTGGACCGATATTAACCAAACATAGCTAAGAACCACCGAAGAAAGGAAACTGGCTTTCAAATGAAAAAAACCGCATCAAAATTGGTCCATCCGTTTGAGAGCTACGATGCCACAGACAAACACACACACAGACAAACACACACACAGACAGACAGACAAAGACGTCAAACTTATATCTCCCCTCTTTTGCGTCGGGGGTTAAAAATACGAAAGAATATAGTATTATTTTTATGATACATAATATATTTTCAAAAATTGCAAAATAACTAGTTATTCTATTATCCTTATTCTTTGAAGATAGTAAAATATATTTATGACACAATCGAGAATAGTAACATTAACAGCAAAATCACACTACTATTTTTGATCTGGATATATAATTCTACATATCCACGTCTATATAATATTTTAGTCTGTGGTTAATACATAAAATCAAATCAAAATGTTTAGTTATTTAACACTACGGAATCCTCGATGTGGGAGTCAGACTTGCACCTTTCCGATTTTTTTAATAATACGAATTAAATAAAACTTGGTCTAAAGAACTCCCAACAACACGTTTCTGCTGTACTTAGTATAAAGTATAAATTTGAAGGATCGTTATGTCCGGCACATTGTAAATATTTCAATTTATAAATATATATTTTTCTATTTATTTTTGAAGACTTTTGGTTAAATGTGCCAACCCTATCTATATATATATACCTTAATCTTAATTATATGTTTCAGTGGCTAGAATGTAGGGCAGTAGAACCGAAGGCCCTGGGTTCGAGTCTTAGGTCTGGGCTAAAACTAGTTTAAGAAAAATCTCATTGTCTTGATAATATTATAATGTTTAATATGAAATATAAGAATCAAAGCATTTCCATCGAAGTTTCTTAGCTGAGTTCAATATTTATATTAGCTGTAGATTATTTTAAAGAATTATTTTTAAAATTAATTAAAATTTATGATATCACTGGATTCGATCGAAGCAACTTATCCAAGAAATCCTCTAAAAGGAGAGACAGTTATATTACCTTTTTTATATTGAATTTTATCAGTAGTTATTGTATAGTAAAGTAGTTGAAATGAGGCACAGATAGTGAATGAATAACTATAATGTTAGATTATCATTTTCTCGTATGAATCCAGATCCGTTCAGCCGCTCTAGCGTGAAAGAGTAACAAACATCCATACATCCATGTACAAACTTTTACATTTATGATATTAGTATGGATCATTATTGTTTGGCTTCATGTTTAGTTTTTTGACATTCTGTCTATTCTCTATATTATTTCTTAGTCTGAGTTCTAAATTTATAGTACATGGACAAACTTTATATAAAGAGATGTTTTTATATAGAGTTAGATGGCCCATGAAGTTATAAAATCAGAACGCTTTCAACTTAATGTTAAATATTGAACAAATACATAATTATTATGTCTTTTTAAATAAACGGACATCATACATTTCAACCCTTTTCCGCAAACACCGATCATTCTTTACCAATTTTTATATATACATATTATATTTACCATATCATTGTTCATATCTAATAGCCAATATTTTTCACTAACTTTGCCTCTTTCAAAGAATATATACTCGTAGATATAGAGTATAGTCAATAAGCCTTATTCCGCCCACACACTAAGCTATCGCGACCTTGACTACCATACGTTAATAAGTACATACATTTAAAAAAGAAAACGTGTGTGTGTACTTACATATACGCACGTACGTAACAGAATAAAAATAGCTAAAGGTTTCGTCCCGTATGTGACAACTTTCTGTTTAGCTAACTTCATCATGTCGCTTTTTGGCTGTATGGGCATGGTAAAAATTTTCCTCTTATAATTTTTTCCAAAAGTGTCGAATGAAGTATAATTTCAAAAATGTATGATAAATTTTATATATAAATTAATCATAATATATCATACATTATTTATATAATACAAATTTTATATATATTACAATGGAATTGGTCCATGGTGTGTGGTCGAGATCGTCTAGTGTTTGGGCTCGTAGAGTTAAGCTGCCGATGAACTCACCCTTTCCGTCTCTTAAGGACTGGACGGAATTCTGTAAATTTACCATTAATTTTTAACTTTTCTATGATTTTTATGACATTTTTAACCATCTCTATAATTTTTATATTTTATCTACATATACAAATATCTACAAATAATACTCAAATTGTGACTAATCTTATTCAAACTCTTATGTGAAAAATAGAAGGATGAAAAATAGGTGATGATGTGAAACTTGGGAGCGGAGTAATTATACATAAATAAAGCAGAGAGTAGCCGCGCAGAAACGCTATCTTATATATATATATATATATATATATATCTATATATCTTATATATATATATATCGCTATCTTATATATCTTATATATATATGTATATGTATTTATAATATAGAAAATATTTGTATCGATTTGTATATAAACTTTTTAAAATATGTCGTAAATACGCTTAAAAGCAGTTGAAATTACAATTTGTGATAGAATTCAATTGAAGGAAGACACTAATTGAGTGCTTCCTTCAATTAAATTATGCTATTAATTACAGTTATGATATTTTATACGTACATGCTATCTATACATATAATAAAATTGTAACTAAGCCGAATCTGTACATTAAATATTTTTTGGAAAATCTTATTGCAATAGACATTATTATCGATACAAAGGCCAAATCTATAGATTTTAGAATTCTTGTCTGTCTGTTACCGCATCACGGAAAACTCATTGGAGGAATTTTAATGAAACTTGGTATGATGATAGCTGGTTATCCGGCTCAACATCTAGGATACTTTTTACTACGGGAAATTATCTCATCTCTGAGAAATCGATACTAAACGTTATAATGTAAGTAGGGACGAACCCAAGCGAAGCGAGGGTGAGTCGCTAGTTTTATCCAAAAAAAAATCATCTCTGATAGCGGAATATACTTATAAAAAGTGATTTTGACGTCAGTGTACGTTTTTAGTTAAAAGATAAAAAGGGGTTTTAAATACTTTAATACCTTATTTTAAAGTGTTACATAACGATAAAGCTTTATTGTTACCATAGAAATAGTTTTGGGCCAGATTTGTTGATAGCCTACATTTTGTCCCGATTAGTCGAGCAACTCTCCTGTTATTTGACAAAAATCAAAAACCTGTTAATTTTGATTCAATTATATCCCAAACTACTTGCCTTTCTCTAAGATGTGTAGAAATTATTTTTTACACAATGCTTTCGTATTGGTGACCATGTGGTATGGCTAAAAAAGCCAGTAGGTAAAGCCTACTAAAGCCTAACGGAAACTTTCCCCTACTACCTAAATAACAGTTTATTCCTTTTCTAAGGTTACTAAATTTACTAACACTATGAATTTCATACTTATATCTTTGTTTATTTTTTCATTAAAGCTAAGCATTAAGCATAAAATGCCTTGTTGTTGCTTTGTTTGCAGTATATCAGAAAAAAAGGATATTTACTAACGAGAAAGAAATACGATTAAGATGACGTTGGTATACTGTGTGTATGCTATGTATGAGTATTATCTTGATTTAGCCAGAAGAGTCCTTATTTACCATATATAAAGCTTAAGTTTTTAAGTTAATTTATTATTATAGTACCATAAACATTTCAATTATCAATAATAACTTAACGCATGATTAGGTACCGATTTTCAAAATGAAGGAATTTCGAAGAGAGCCATTTATACTTTTGAATTCTTTGGAGAAGAAGTTATATAATGTTGATCCCGTGCAGTTCTTATTTGGCAAATATTTTAGCAAATCTGTTATAAAAATGATTGATTAAGATTGTATCTAAACAAATTCCTGATTTTCTACAGGAAAATGAACGTTTTATCCAAAATTGTGATCCCGAAGACTAATGTGACGATGGGATACATAAACAATGAATTAGAAGAATATGCTAGAGAAGAGTTTTTTAGGTTAAAAAAAGTATTGGAAATTAAAAGAAAAATGTATGAGAGTATCCAAGATCCAAAAGCTAAGAAAAAAAAGGAAGGCGCAGAAGAAGATGGCCTTTGTATAGCATGTAAAGAGGAAATGTCTGAACAGAAAACTGAAAAATCACCAATTGCTAAAATTGATAAGCCTCCTGAACCTAAACCTGCCCTTGAACCTGAATCTGTTTCTTCACAAGAAAACAAGCTAAACTATGAAGAAATAGATAAACTAATTATACAACTAAATGAAATAGTTAATGTAACCACTGATATGGATGAAAAGGGCCTCTTAAAGGCTAGCGTCGATGATTTCTTAAAAACAGCTCAAGTACTAAAGTCAAAGTTAGGTCAAAAATCTGAAGAACAAAATGAAGAACTCGATGGAGTTCAATCGTTGCCCTGTAATACAATTTTACCAGATGATATCAATATGGACCAGCTATGTGATACTTGTAAGGAAAAATATAGCAAAAGTAACGATAATGGAACTCAAACAGATCCAATTCCAAATGAAGAAGAAAAAGAGAATGCCTTGGACGAAAAAGAGTTCGAGGGGAAAGCAAAGTCTCCATCTCTACATGATTCTGATGCAGAGTTAGCAACTTTTGAAACTGAGTTTAAGGAAATAACTAAAATAACAAAAACTATAAATGAAGATGGATCCGTTACCATAAAGAAGAAAGTAATTAAGATCGAAAGAGAAATTAGAACTCCAGTTCGAAGCAAACCTTCTTCTAGTAGGACTTCAGCAAACAAATCTAATATCCCTGGTCAATCAGCTAATTCTTCATCACATTCTAATCCGTATTTAGGTTCAAGAACTGTTGGCTTAGTTACACTCAAAAACCTTACCCCCAAAGATAATTTACTGTCCCTCTATAGGGTACAAAGAGTAAAATCAGAAATTTTGAATACATTTTCACCAATGTCAGTTCCCACTGAAAGATTTTGTTTGTCATCTACAACTATACTATCATTGGATATAGATTTAGACTATCCAATGGATGATATTAATTATAATTTATCATCCAGTACAAGAAATAATGTAAGATCGTCTGATGATGAAGCTTGAAAAATGTCGCAAATACTATTTTTTCACTAATGATACTTAAAGAAAAATAATTGAGAATATTCGAGTAGAAATTGTATGTTTTACAAAATATTTCAACACTTATAAAATATAAAAATATCATACTGAAATTTAATAATAAAAAATATTTTATATATGTAAAGTCCTTATGATGAGAGGATAAATTCATCAGCAGTGATATTATTATATTAGAATACGAATACAAAATGAATAATTTGCCCACAGGAAAATGAACGTCCTTAAAAAAATTGTCATACCAAGAACAAATGTTACTATTGGATACATATTAATGGAATTAGAGGAAATGGCTAGAGAAGAGTTCTGCAGATTAAAAAAAGTTAAAGAAAACAAGAACATAGATAGTAACGAGAGAGAAATGAACAATCAATCAACAGATACAGCAGATCATACTACATCATTTAATAATAATTCTAATAATATTGCAAAATTAGAAAAAAAAGCGTTTGTTGTAAATGTTGAAACAAATGGTTATATGAAGCCTGAAAGGGAGACAGATGTAGAAATAAATAAATTTCAAATTGCTTCATCTAGCAAGACATCATCAATCGAAATAGATTTTCAAGAAAAAATGTTTCATGTAAAAGAATATTTTGAAGAATTAGTTTTACGGACTAAAGAACTTATACAAAAAGGTGACGATTCCTTGGAAACAAGCAAGTTCTTGAAAAAGTATGAAAATGCTAACAAAAAACTTGATTATTTGCTCAATGAAGATGATTATGCAGTATTAGATAAACTCTTAAATCGTAAAATGCAACACTTAAAGTGTCATCTTCGTGAGATAATTGATGTCACTAATAAAGAAGATAAAAAACAGATAAATTCATCATCATTTGCAGATAATAATTATCAGACGAAAAGAAAAGAATACAACCAATCGATAATTTTACCACGAGACGAAAAGGTTGAGGCAAAATATGAAGAAAATGTTATCAAATTACAAGAATTCCAAGATATAATATCGGGTGTCGAGAAGATTACAGCCGCATATATTAAACAAGGACTATTGCCACCAAGTATGGAGGCATTTGTAAAATCTTGTGATGAGATGAGATCTAAAATAAATAACTATGTTAAACGTGATAATACTAATAATAATAATAATAAAGATTTAAAACAATTAGTTTATGGTTTAGAAAAAAATAAGTCAAACTTATCCAAGAACACTGAAATACACAATGAAAGTGCTTCTTACTATTCGAGCAAGCTCAAGGGACATACAGCTGAATTAGGTGAGAACAGTTTACGAAGTATGGAGACTACGAAGAATAACAGTATAGATGATTTGATAAATTCATTCAATAAGATGGAATGTTGTGTAGATAAAGACTATAAAAATGTACAAAAGTTTCATCATGTTCAAATAAATTTAGAGGAAATTATAAATTTAATAGAGAAGATTAAATTGGAACAAAAAGATAGCCTTGAGAGATTCTTTAAAGCATCTGAAGATGTAGCGGAGACAAAACAAACGACTAACCGGTCAAGCAGTCCATTACATTTTTATAATGAAGATTCAACACGTCAACGTAAAGACGATAGTACTAATAGTCCTCAATCTGAAAAATTATCAATCGTGGAACGAGTAATTGAACAGAACGTTCCTAATGAGACAATTCCTTGCAACTTTTGTAAGGATTTCGTAAACATAAACGAATCTGTAATTGAAACTATTTGTTCTATTTGTGTACACCCAAGAGAAGAAGAAATAAGTACAATAATATCTACTCACACATTAGAAAAATCGGAAAAAAATAGATGTGGACTGTGCAAAAAAATAATCGAAGACAAGGTAGTTAAAGATGATGTGATTAAAACAAAAGAAAGTGAAGGAACACAAACTGAAGTTAAAAATAGTAGTGGTAATTTTGAAAAGATAAAAGACAAGAAAGTTAAGGTGACTAGAAGGCTTAATACAGATGGAACTATTCTTAAAAATAAGAAACTATAATCATTAATGAAACAAAACAGAATCCGATAGATTCTTCAACCTCCGATGATGATGATGATGATATATCAGATAATAATCCTATAAAAAATAAATAATGATAAAAAAATTGTTTAACAAACATAATTCATAACGAAAGTTGAACCTCGTAAAAAAATTTCCACCAGTTACCAACTATTTATTCCTTCTTACTCCACCGACGATAGATCAATAAAGGGTATCCTATCGTTAAAGTAAATGAAAATATTATTAATAACACCGTTTTCGATATTTTAATTAGCAAGAGAGATAAAGACCGAAAATTATCATTTACCCTATAATATAATCATAATTCATAAAAATCTTACAATACAGATATTAAATCAGAACAAAAGAGAAGGAAGGGTAGTTATCAGCAGCTTCAAATTAAATGAGCACAGTTTTATACAAGAATTTGTCTTCACAGGAAATGGAATGTTTTATCTAAACTGGTAGTTCCTCGACTCAACTTAAGCTGTCACTACATACTTTCTGAATTAGAAGAAACTGAGAGAGAAGATAATTTTAGACTCAAAAGATTTAAAGAACTAAAGGTTAAAAAGGCTGAAGGTAAGGAACAGTCTATAATAACAGAGAGAATTATTGAAAAGGAGATGTGTGAATGTACACTTAGTTTTGAAACTAAAGAGCTTGTAGATGAATTTCTTTATAATGATACAAATCAAGAAGAAATAGATCCAAACACAGAATTTGAAGAACTTGAAAGTAATATCACTGAATACAAATTTAACGAAACAGCAGTTGATAAAGAACAATGTATTATTTGTAACGGCTTTGAAGAATCACTAGGTAAAACAAATGATCCTGATGATAAAACAGAAAATAGGCAAGAAATTCAAGAAAATCAGGGGAAGAAATTTAATGAAACACTTTTTGGTAGAGATGAAACAAAAAGTATAAAATTTTTTGATCATAGAGAAATTACATCTCCTATAGAGAGCCTTTTGTCGACACAAGGCAAAGATAAAGAAGAACAGAAAACATGTCCCAATTGTTTACAATTGAAAGACAAAGTAAAACTAGACAAAATAAATAATTACGAGGAAAATATATGTCCTAATAGTAAAAAGAATGAAGAGTTTATTAAAGAAGAGCACATATCAAAAGATGATAATTTATGTCCTAGTTGTAAAAAAAAGAAGAGTATTGAATTTATTGATATAAGAAATATGCTATCTCAGACGGAACAGTTGTCATTACCTAATAATGTATGTCCTAATTGTAAGAAAAGGAAGAGTACTGAGTTTATTGATCAAAGGAATTTTTCATCTCCTATAGAGATCCCAAAACGAATTGATTTAAAAATCGAAGATAATGAAAGTAGTGAAGTTAAAATTAATAAACAAGATTCAAAGAACAATAAGTACTCTGATTTAGAAAGAGAAAAACAGAATTTATGTCCTAGTTGTAAGAAGGAAAATATAAAAAAATCACAGACAGGATTAGATCCACAAAAGGTTCCGTTACAGCTAGGAATATCAAAATCATTAGACAATAACAATACAGATAATAAAATAAAAAATATGTGTCCTTTTTGTAAAAATAATAAGTTGAAGTCTAGAAGTGCAGACATTGATCAAAACAATTTCTTACAATTAATCGATAATAGTGAAAAGAAATTTGATTCAATGAGTAAAGAGAAGCATGTGTGTCCAAGTTGTAAAAACAATAACACAAAAAAAGATCACAACATACCTTATAAAGGAGTTTCAACAGCATTAAGTCAAAACAGTACAGAATTTGGCCGCAAAACCATAGATAAACATATATGTCCTGGTTGTATGCCTTGCGATATAAAACAAGATAAAAATTCAAAGTCTGATATAGATAATAATAAATTTAATATGAAATATAAAAAAGACAATAAAGTATGCCCTGGCTGTAATTTTGACGATAATTATAGGAAATATTTCAATAAAACAAATAAGAAGGAAATAAAAGAAAGTGAAAATGTAGATTATGCTCACGATCAAAGAAGTATTGAAGAAAATGAGAGTACTAAATATTGTCCTGCCTGTAAAACTCCTGCCATGAAATATTATAACACTTGTGATTGCGGTATATCTGACATATTGTCAGACATTCAGATATCTGAAAGTGACGAATATGATAAAGCTCTTTCCGAAACATGTTCACTGTGTGAAAGAATGAGACTATCCAAAACAGATCGTTCTTCCTGCAGTTTTAAGTCAAATATAACAAATAAACAAATACATCAAACACGTACTGATAACACCAGTGAAACTGTAGAAACTATTAATAAAATTGTTAAGCTTAAAAGACTTCCCGGTACTGATGGCATTATTCGCGAAGAAATCACGATTAAAACTAGAAGAACACAAGAACACGTCTTTCCCAACTCCTCAGACAGTGATAAATATATCAAAAAACCTATAGAAATACCTGAAAAATCTATTAAGCAAACAAAGTCCGAAAACATAAACCAGAGTAAAATGAATGTGTCTAGTAGAATTTCCTCTATTCCTACTAAAGTTTCATGCTTATCTTCATGTTCAATTCCTATATTTGAAAAACATAGTAAAAGTAGCTCTGGTGAAGCTTTACACATTATATCTCAATCAGTTCCAGTTAGTTCTCAAAATTTGAATTCAAGTCAATGCAATAAAACATGTATGAAAAACAGGTATACAGAATCCAGTAATAAAAGTACAACAAATTGTATGATTTGTCAAAACACTGAAATAACTGAGTCAAATGTATCCTTGACTAAATCATGTAGAGCTAGCAAATGTAGCAAAGACATGACGAAAGTAAAGTCTAACAATAATAGCTGCTGTAAAATAAAAATTATAAATAAAGATAAAAATTCAAAAGAAAATAGTGATGAAGAAGAAATTGAACTTACACTAAGTACTATCGTTATTCTAAAGAAAATTTTATCGTATACAAGTAAATCGGCTGCCAGTTGTTGTAGGTCAATTGAAACAGATCAAAAACAACCTCAGAAATCGAACGATGGGTCCAAAGCTAAAGTTTCTTCAGATATTAACTCAGTTAAATCAGAGCCTTGTATGCAAAAAAGTATAAAAGAATTATTCGATAAAAAATTACGTAAAACGGAACCAAATTGTAATACATGTGATTCGAAAAACGTGAGTAAGCCTCAAGAAGATATACCTACAAAAGATAGAACTTTGCATTGTTTCTCCTGGTCAAACAAAGATTTAAAGCCGGAAAAACCAAAATTAGATCCATCAATAAAACTTAAACAATCTGCGAATATTGAAACTCATTCAGAAATTCATGATAAAATAAGTTCATGCAAACAGGAAAATCAAAAAACTATAGAAGAAAAAACGGAGAAAATGAAGACTGATACTAACAATTGTCATGAAAGTGATAAAACTAAGGAATCAAAAGATAATTCTTCAGAAATAAAAGATAAAGAGCAAACGTCTAAGTATGTTTGTAATAAGACCACAACATGTGAAAATAAATCATGTCAAACAAGACAGCAACATCATAGTCGTGAATTGAAAGAAAAGTCTGAAAGTAATAAGAGCATTAAAACTAATTCGAAGTGTCCTCACACTGAATTTTGTTGCACTTGTAAAAAGAAACTTGAAAATGAAGTTCAAAAGACATGCACATGCTCTAAAATGAAACTTATCTCACATACTGTCAATAAAACATGTACTTGCATGAAAGCTGAACCTAAGTCTTCAAAAATAGTTATGAATTTATCTAAGGGTAATTGCTCCTGTAATGAACAAACTCCCCATTCGGTAGATATATCTTCTTCGAAACGATCTAATCACTCAGATAGCTGCACTGGGAGTGTTGAAACTTTGTCAATAGCCAATCAGACGTGCCTAATGGATAGATTGTCAGATGATATTAACAAGAAATGTGGCTGTTTATGTTTAGAGAAAAGTAATCTAAAAGACATTACAAGAGAGACTGAGAAAAAGTTATCATGTTCAAAGTCTATGATAGCTATGCAGAGAGATGATAGCGAGCTATGTACCTGTAATAAAAATATTTCAGCAAATGGTAGAATAGTAGAGAAAAAGTGTTCTGATATTAATAAGTCAGTTTCACGCGAATGTAGCTGTGTGTCAGGTATTGATGCTAAAAAACTTGAAGCAGAACATCCTTGTGCTTGTCATCAAGCTAATAATATTCACAAATCAAAAGAAACAGAAATAAAAAAAGAATGTCAATGTCAAAAACATGCTCATTCCAAAACTAATATTTGTAGTTGTCAGCAGTTAAAGACAAGCAATAGCAGTAATAAAAAGCAAAAACCAAAATGTTTATGTGAATCTTCATCCAAACAATCAATACACCCAATTGAAAATAGAGATACAGTATCTAGTGGTAGTCAGACATGTTCAAAATGTTTGTCAACAGATCAGGACCTAAAACTCACGAATGAGGTATGCTCTTGTACAAAACATAAACCTAAGCATGATGGACATAACATTACCAACCATAGAGAATGTTCGTGTTCCTCAATTGAAACAGCCCTGTTCGATACTGTAAATTCACCTAAAAACTATAATTGTCAGGCTGAAAAAACACCACCATCATCATACAAGCAAGAATGTTCTAAGACCAGTGACGTAGAAAAGACACACAGCTGTAAAAAAACGCGTGAATTAAGACAACCATGTGCATGTTCTCAGACTAAGTCGGATACAAGTAAAGATCACAGTCAATCAAGTAGAATAAGTTCTAAAACTTGTAAAGATGCGCAGCCTCAATCGAAAAAGAGTAATAAAAATCATTCCCGCGAGTGTAGTTGTCGATCATCTAAAAATAAAATTGAGTCAGATTCAGAAAAAAGTTTTGATTCTTTCCAATCACTAGTTAAAACTTCTTGCTCATGTCGTGAACATAATCCACATAAAACGAATGAAAAACACCATGATGTAACTAATAAAACAGAAGAAACTCCACCGTGTAGCTGTCATGCAGCTGATCAAAAAAGTGGCAGCTGTGCTAAGCATCAACCATATATTTCAAAAACAGAGACGGATACCAAATATAGTTGTGGTTCATCGGAAAATAGTTTCAAACCAAGTGTATCCTTTGAAACTGAAATAGGAAAAGTATCTTTGACCGGTGGTAGCCACAAATCACAATGCACTTGCAAATCTAAGCAAAATAAAGAAAATTTGAAACAAACATGTCTAATAAGTAAAAAAGAAATATCCAAACCATGTAGCTGTAAAGAAACTAAACCAAAAATGACTAAAGCTTGCACAAATGAAATGGCAGCATCCCCAAAATGTCCTTGTGAATCATCCAAACAATCTCCTTCGATCGCTTCTAATCAAAGTACAGAACCTATATCTGTAGGAAGCCAAACATGTTCATACAGGTGTGCATCCATTCAAACATCCCAAAAGTCGATCAGATTTTCCTATGATGTTTCACCAACTCCAAAAATCAAATCTGATAGCACGTTACCTACTGACAGCTCATGTTCTTTGAAAAGCTGTCTTTCAAGTCAAAGTCAATTTTCGCAATGCTCCTGCGGGAAGAAAGAAGTTTCCACTTCGACGAAACGATCAGATCGGTATGATGTTCGAACCTTGAGAGATTTACCAGTGGAACCAAAACCCAAAAAACTTGACTGCCCCTGCCAATCTGACTCCGCCGTTTTGAAAAGTAAGAAACCTAGAAACTTTAATCCTGTTGGCAAATGTTGTTCTTTACACGATTCACATTATTTCAGATATTAAGAAAATTCATTTGTAAAAAAAGATATTTCATATTTTGTTGCTACAAGTATTAGGTATCTATTGAATGTTGATAATATATAAATAGTTTTGGTTTTTCAAACAACTTTCTGTAAACCTTCAATATAACTATCTCTGTAACTCAAGTTTTTCATTTTTTGTTTCTTGTGTAGCATATGAGTGAGTTACTTACAGTGCAGTAAACATTTAAAAAGAGTAAGAAAGTTCGAATAAGTTGACAAAAAATAGTAAAATGTATCAATAAGCATCATTTCTCGTGTTAGATTTTTGAAATTATAATTTATTAGCGACTCACCCTCGCTCATCTCGGGTTCGTCCGTAGGTACGTACGTTTTTAAATTAGTATAGATTTCTCAGAGATGAGATATTTTCATGCAGTAAAAAGCATCCTATGTTATGTTGACCCAGATAACCAGCTATCATCATACCAAATTTCATCAAAATCTATCTAGGAGTTTTCTCGTGACACGTTCCCAGACAGACACAGAAAAATTCTACAAACTATAGATTCGGCCTCCGTATCGACAATGATAATTATGTCTATTTCAATAATATTTGCCAATAAATATTTAATGTTCAGAGTCGACTCAGAATTTTATTGTATATGTTTATGTAGATTACATGTTAAACTACTTGTACAATTTTTTTATTTGAGTTATGATCTGATGAAGTAGATATACTTTCAAGATAAGTGTGTTTTTAAACCCCGACGCAAAAACTACGGGGTGTTATAAGTTTGACGCGCCTGTGTGTGTCCGTCTGTGGCATCATAGCTCCCGAACGGATGAGCCGATTTTGATTTTGTTTTTTTTTGTTTGAAAGGTGAATTAGTCGGGAGTGTTCTTAGCTTGTTTGACGAAAATCGGTTCAAGATGGTCGGGGATTTTGTAAATTTTTAATGTACATAATATCACTTGTAAGTAACTAAAAAAAGTATGCCCTTCTTGGCTTATAACTTCTAATCACGTAGTAGTAATTAGTTCATGAGTTGGGGTAGTATTTTTTTGGAAGTTTGTAACGTCTAAATAAATAAAAAAAACTGTTGACCTATTTACATTGCTTTGATGTATCTCTCAATGTTTAGTCACCTTTAGCTATTATAATATTTTTACGAATTATATACTTAAATATATCCTAATTTAGTTAGTTAAGTTAGAGGAGAAACGAGGCAGAAAGCGACTTTGTTATATATTAAAAAGGTACGTCTAAAAAGTAAAATGGGTCGTTTTTTCTATTTTAAAATATGTATATTGTAAAACAATGAAAATTTTTCCTGCATCAATCGTTATATTGTCAACCTATACATATAATAAAAGTGTAACTGATCGCTGTCTGTACATGGAAGATATTTAAGAAAAATTATTTTAGGGGATCTTTATTAACGCAATAGAAACCAAAATAATCATTTTTAGAATTTTTGTCTGTTTGCTTATGACTTTGTGCGCGCTAATTTAAGTAAGGGCTTTACCGATTTGTGCGGTTTCCACTGATGTATTGAGCATTACTTAACATTTAGTATTTGTTTAAATTCAATCAGTTCATAAATAATAACGTGATGTCAATTTAAAGAATTGTAATAAAATTATGGGCACACAAGAGAAAAATCATACGTCCCGCCCAAACGTCGATATGTATTCGTCGTCATACTTTTCCTGTCTGTCTGGCACCTGTGTAGACGAACACCGCAGGTCTCTCGACGTCTTCAACTAAAATAGTAGCGTGTAACAATACTGTATACTAGCGTCTCACCCTCGCGTCACCCGGGTTCGTCCCTAGGTGATTCTTTATATTGACATAATTTTTTTTATTAATGAACCGTTTGAAATAAATTAAATACTAAATGTTAAGTGAAGCCGTACACCACAATACATTTGTGAAAACTGCACCCAAATCGGTTAAGCCGTTTCTGAGATTAGCGCGCACAAACGCACAGATAAACTGACAAATATTCTAAGGATCATTGTTTTGGGTCCTAATGCGTTATTAAAGACCCCTCCCCCCTCCCCTTCCCCAATACTAGTTTCTTCCAAATATCTTTCACGTATAGACAACGATCAGTTACACTTTTATTATATGTATATAGATATATCTATTTGAAGGGAATCGTATACGGGATCTTCAGTTAAGCAGTCAGATACGCAACTACTACACCACACGATCATCAAAGTTAATTTATGACACAACAAACGTTTTAAACATAAAGTAACTAAAGAAAACTTGATTATTTTTGAATTCCATTGTAAGCGTTTAAATAACAGAATATATTCGTAGTAAATTAGATGGGCCATTAGCTTTTTGTTATACATTTAGAATAGTTTATTCCCGTTTATTATTATGTTAGAAAATATAATGCTCGCCGCACATGGATGGAGTGGATTTATTTTTATAGCAAACGATATTTTGCTGTAAAATCTATACTTATAATAAAATTGTAACTAAGGCGAATATGTACTTAGTTTGTTTGTTTGTCTGTCTGTCTGTCTGTTACCGCATCACAGAAAGACCACTGGAGGAATTTTAATGAAATTTAGTATGATGATAGCTGGTTCTCCGGGTCAACATATAGATACTTTTTACCGTGAAACAATATCTCATTTTTGAGAAAAAACAAAAAATGCTATGTAAGAGTATACTTATATGTAAAACCTAAGAATTTGCGTTTTGGTTATCTGAACGCGGGCGGAGCCGCGGGCAATGCTAGTTTTAAATATAAAATGAATATGAGAATATTTTTTTATTGTTAATGTAAAATGAGTCCAGTAAAATTTGTTAACGAATCGATTTGATTGAAAAAGAAATAGTGAAATTAGCTCTACACCGCCAAGTAAATATGTTTTTTAGTTTTTGGAATTTAATAACATGAAAGCTTCAAATATAACTGTAGATTTTCCAAACCGATTAAATAAAACTTGGAAGGAGATCAATCAGCTTATAGTTCAATCGAAAATGAGAAATATTTTAACCTTACTAAAAACAAATTAAGCCGACACAAGCAACATGCACTTGTAAATATCTCTCTTATCATACACTAGAAAGAAGACTGAAAATTAAAATAGGATAAAGTCTTAGTAACACCATTCGCCATTTTAACCGGAAAAAACAGATAAAAAAAGATTTTTTTTTATATTTTTTTAATTTATTTTAATAGGGGTTGCTAGTATTTATTACATGTTTTATAAGAAATGATTTAAGTTAAATAATTAAAATACAACACAATTATGCACAACCGTTTTAAAGCAAACAACAACTTGCGTATCCTTGTGTCCGTTTTCATAATTATGAGGTTTTTAAAAACATAGTAATTAATATTCTAGATTAATCATTAGTTTAAATAAATTAAATAAAAATATAACAACAAACAATACAATTTACAAATGATAATTAAGAAATAAACAGAATCGTACGTTAAATTAAAATATATCTTTAAAATTCGAGTGGATAACAATCCCACCCATAGTTTGAAGACTGTCTAGACGGCGTCTGATAATAAACGTGGCAAAATAATTAGCGTTGTCTCCATACCTCGCATTCGAACCGAAGTAATTAGGTACAAACAAAACGATGGACATACATTTTTCTTTTTTGAATTCTGACTTCGCGTGCGGCCGTCGTCGGTTGGCACGAATATATTGAGAGTTGATCGCTAATTGATTTGTTAATTTAATTGGACCTTTATTTAATTTTAGCCGATTTCGAAAAACAGGAGGTTTTTAACTAGCTTAGGTTGTTTTTTTTTTGTGTGTTTCACGATTTTTTTGCTGATTGTTAACTTATTTTGTTCATATTGGACGTGTAACTACCCAAAATAATAAAAAAATAAAACCTTATGGGCTATGGTTTTTAATTTAGGCTGGTAATATTTTTTAAATTTGTTAAGTACTTTTTAGCCTGAAAAGAAGGAGGAAATAATATTATATAATATCACTATCCGCGGCTCCGCCCGCGTTCAGATGACCAAAAACCAAATACTTAGGTTTTACATACAAATATACTTTTACAATGTAGTTTTCGTATTTTTTCTCAGAAATGAGACATTTTCCCGCGGTAAAAAGTATCCTATATGTTGACCTGAATAACCAGCTATCATCATTGCCTTTTCGTCTCTCTGCGTGATAAATCTGTTTATAGTGTCCTCATAGGCGTCTGACACTGGATTTTGATTGTGGCTCTTGGTCTGTATGATACCACGTATGTTGATTCCTGACCTTCATTGATTGAAATGTATGTAAAGAGTGTTTTTATCCTCAAGATTTTTTTTTCAAGAAATTTTGGCTGAAATGCATGAAATTTATTGTTTAGTGCATAAGTTACGTCTATAGAAGTTCTGTAAGAACGCACCGGTTCTTGACTGATGGGCGTCACGAGGGTTGGGCTATTGTATATGATTTTAAATAGGTTTTGCCGATCGATATATAGAAATTGGTTCAAGTTTCCCATGAGTGACCGTTTTCCTCAGTTAATCGGTTGGCTGCCATTACGATCAACCCCAAAACGGTTCGAATCAAATTTTCGCCTAAGAAAGTATTAAATTAGTTTTTCTGTTGTGGCAGCTCTAAATTATAGCAGTACACATCACTACGACAGTCTGTAGTACGCAGACGCGAGAGCGTTCCTTACGATCCTCAACTATACTTTATATTTAGATGTAAGGTCACCTTTGCATCTATTTTGATACATGTTACTATGAAGCTGTGGAAGCAAGTAATAAAAGAAAAGATATTTTATGTGTAATCTATACGTATGTGTACAATGTAACGAGGTCAAAGTCATGTGTTATGTTAAATTTTTTTCTGATTTAAAAAAAGGGGCTAAATTTGACTGTGTTTTTTACCTATCTGTGGCAAAACTCAAAGAGGGTTTATGTGTTATGTATGAATGTATGATCTTCGTTCCCTAGTAATTACTAAACGCCTTAACTGATTTAAAAGTTTCGTACATATTACGAGTCTATCTCAGAAGTAGGTCAGGTGGCCAAGTAA